AGCACCAGCCACTTCTTTGCATTCTTTGCATTGTATCAATTTGCTTTTGCAAAAATGGATGGACTTCAGCTTTTCTTTTTCGTTTAAGATAAAAACATTTTGTGATAAGTTTCTTTAGAATGTTCTCACATATATACGTGACAGTGTGTTTTTCATGAGCGCTGATTTCTGTGATAGTATCATTTGGTTTTCTATCAGTAAACAATCTTTTTGTAATGGTCTGCTAGAGTGTGAATAAAAAAAACAGCAAACATCTTTGGTGATGTAGAAAAAGTTCTGAACAGATTCAGTAAAGGCTTCATCTTTCCATATTTGATCAAATTTGCTCACATGGTTCTTTGGTCTTTGGGTAAAAAGCTGAGGTGGTAGCCATACCCTTCCAAGTTTCAAAAAATTTTGATTTAATAAATTCCTGTCGAGGGTCTTGAGTTTTTGTATATCACTTTGATACATGTGATAAATCATCTCATCAGCCTTCATACTACAAATAGTCTCCTTAATCAAAGATTCAATCTCGTTGAAAATTGGCATCTGTATCCCATTCTTTGATTGTTTTGTTTTCTGCTGCTTTGGCATCGAATTTTTGCTCTCTCCTCCTCGTGTCTTGTCAGACAAGGGTCGCTCCAAAGCAACTTCACTGCCATTTTCACTACAGAACGCAATTGAAATCTCCTCAAAGTAAAAGAAAATGAGAATTTTTACATGGAAAATAAGATGACAAGCCAAAAAGGACTTGTCAAATAAGAGTTAGCTTGAATTCTGGACTGGATATTTTGGCAAAACAGTTGTACTCTCTGAAGATATTCTTGGATTATTCTTATCTTTTTATACCTTTGCTGCCCCTGTTTCTGTCTGCTATTTCTGCCCTTTCTGCATCTCCAACTTGCTTCTTTTCATGAGTAAGAATTTGAATATTTCTTTTCTTTGCTGCCTCAAAGGGATTACGCAAAGCACCCACAGCCTCATAAGGTATGTATTTACCAGCTTTAACAAGAGATAAGTTTTGTTGCTCATTGTGCTTCTTTTGAAAGTTGTAATTGAACTGTGATCCACATACTCTTCCTACCTAGACTCTCAATATTTTGAAGTTTTATTCTCAAGTTTTATTAAAAATGTCATGTTGACTTAACACAATGTTATGAACTATGGCCAAGTCACCGAAATGTTGTGACAAAGGTAACTATTTGTGGCATGCCTAACCACACAGCATGGGTCAGAAAACTATTGTTTGTTTATATTGACCGTAGGATCCCATGTTTTAATGTGCATGCTGCTTGTTTAGAAAAAGGTTCTTTAATCAAAAGCGATCTCATTTTATCCTGTTAGTTAATGATTGAAATATTGCACCATTATGTTGCATCATTATAGAGATTTCACTATGTGATTTATGACTGTAGAAATGTCAATAAAAAGTTTTTTAAAGAAAACCGGAATAAAAAATACCAGAAATTGTGGGTTTTATGGTATTTTTGTCGAATGTTGGACTCAAGGGGGGGGGGGGCAACTGGGCAGACTTGAATTTTTGCCTTTCAGGATAAATCCCCTGCGCACTTCAACTGTGGTTGTGGCTGTGCAATTTCTATTAAAATTATTCATCCAGCTAAGCAGGATTCTTCCTCAACTGTAAAATTTATCTTGTATGTACTTAGGAGTTCACGCTTTCAATGAAATTTGAATTTGGAGACCCTAAAAATTGCAGATCGTCTAGATTGTCATTACTTTTTGCTTGTGTATTCTTGATGTAATCCTGGAAGTTACATTTAAATATAATTTAATCTTTCTTTGCAGCTTTTTCACGCGTGATTAAAAGGACTTTTACAACAGATATATCTACAAGTGTAAAAAAAAGAAACAAAAGTGGACATGAGAAAACTGTGCTGGCATTTTGTTTATCATGCTACAAACCTGCTACAAATTTTTTACTGTTTCAGGTTCTGTAATGAGATTGTCAAAAGGGCATAAAACTGGAACTTTGTCATTGGGTCTGCATCTTGAAGTTCAAACATATAAATAAGCTTCTGATGGAAGGACACTGTGACAAGTGGTATCACCAGAAAGCAAAATTATTAGACCATGTTGCCTCTGAAACACACACAAAAGCAACACTCGGTGCAAGGTCAGTTGACAAAAAAATGAAGCAAGAAACTCTTGTTGTGAAAATTCTGCTAAGAACATCTGTTGGAGTTGTCAAAACCAAATCTGCTGCTATACAGTATGAATCAAGAGTAGCCGAACTTTATGCAGGAGGAGCATATGTGGGTGATTATAGGCATTCCTGAAAATCATTTCCAGACATGATATATGTGGCATGTGCATATATTGATGAAAAAAACATGTGCATATATGATTATTTGTCTTCTCCACTTCCTAACACAGGATCAAGACCCCATTTTTATTTCACAGCTGACAAATCAACAAAGCATGGTATCAAGCATGGTTGCGTTTTATTCGAATGCAAGGCCAAAAAAAGAACATGCATCAATTTTTTTCCAAAAATCAATTTTTTTCCAAATATTAACAAAAGAGAAGCCCAGCTCTTCGCTCTAGATACTCACTGGTAAACAACAATCTTTGCAAGCCACCTTAGATCCTCTTTTGTGCAAATGGGCGGGCAATGCTGCTTGTAATATTTCTTATTAGCTTTTTTCCAAATATGTGGAAATTTTGAAGATGAATGCCATATTTGACAAATAAACTGATTGCAACAAATCTGGATCTTCCTCCATTGGACAACTGGATAAATATGCTTAAGCATATGTGCAATATTCATTTTGATTGTAAGCATGCTCTAGAAAGTCTAGAAAGAGCACTGATTATGATTTTGCAACTGTACAGGAAATGGTGCTAGACAAAAACCTTTTGAAGAGCTTCCAGTACTACTCTAATTTTAGGTATGTATCTATATATATAAACAAAAAATATAAATTTTAATCATCCACCCTGCCATTTGGATTCAAAATTACTAGACTAAAGGAAATGGGGGCTAGATGATTTAAATTTGCAAATATTTTACATAGATTGCTTTTTAAATTCAAATAATACTGGAACTTTGTCATTGGGTCTGCAGCTTGAAGTTATAATATATAATTCAAGAAGCCGTCTGACCTCGCTTTATTCATTAAATTGTATTGTAAAGTTCTTGGAATTTTTGTGCCAATTTTTAAGATTTTAATGTTAATTATGTATCAATTTTGGTTCATTGTACAATTTTAAGAATGTTTATCTCAAATTTTCATTTGAATCTCAAAGGCACACAGGAGAGTTGGAAGTCTTCCACAATCATCTCCTGATGTTTATACTAAAGAGAATCTTTCTCAAGTAGGCGATTGTTGCAAATATATTTCAAAGTAGATCTTGCCACTTTTTGGTACATGCAGCTTTATCTGGAGTGTAAATCATTGATTGATTGTATACATTTTTTTTATTAGCATATCTTTAAAGGAGAATGGCGGAATATTCCTGTTTTTTTACAGGTAGTGGTACTTGTCGTGCTTAACACGATCGTGATGTTATTTTTGGTATTTCTATGATATTTTTCGAGGAATTGAGCTTATTGTTCAAATTTCCTCTGAGGGAAAATTATCGTTTTCCGTCGTTTCCGAGAATCCATCTGGCCATTGTGACGTCAAATGTGATCACTGGTTTTCATGCACGCAATGTCGGCCTATATAATCCGCATAAATTGCGACTAGGAATCAGCTGCAAATTTCAGAAAAATGGTACACTGCAATGCGTATAACTGTTTGGAGGACAGGTGTTCAAATCGGTCTGACTGTGAAAAAAACCGCTTATTTCGTCATATACCAAAAATAATAACGAAATTGGATCAACAAACGAAGGAGTAAACTACTGAACGAAGGAATAAGTGGCTGAGTAACATATGACGTGCAGATCTCAATTGGAAAAAATTTGTTTGGTTTTGTTCTCATCACTTCATAACCAGTAAACCCGCAGCTCTGTTTCAAAAGTTCCATCCAGATTGGGCCCTGACATTGCGTTTAGGTCATTTAGATGTAAAACAAAAAACTTCTTCTCGCTGGGAAAGACGCAACGAGCGATCGGGAAAACATTCGCTTCGCAAGGCTTAGGCCAGCCTACAGATGTGGTAGATAACATTGAGGAGCAGTAGAATTCATTGTCTACGTTTAACGAGCAATTGAATAACAGCAATGGAATCAGCTCATCTCCAAAGTCAGCTTCAATTGAAGTTCAGACGGAACTTTTGATGCTTGACATTGACAACCTGGGGCAAAAGTTGAGCAACCTTGGAGAACGAAAATAAAGTCCTTAATAACAGTCACATTTTAAACAGACTGCTTCCAGGTGACATTGTATTAGCAGACAGGGGCTTCAATATCAGTGAAAATGTGGCACTAAAGGGGGCCAGATTAGAAATAACAGCCTTTACAAAAGGGAAAGCCCAATTGAAGTTGAAGAGACTCGAAGACTTGCAAATGTAAGAATTCATGTTGAATGAGTTATAGGCTTGGTACGTAAGCAATTTCAAAATCCTCAGTGATATTCTTCATATTGAAGCATTGTATAGTCAACAATCCAGTCCCAAAATAAACAAAGTAGAAGTGGTGTGCAAACCTTTGTGACTCCTTTGTTCCATTTAATTTGTTTTTCTTGTTGTATATATTTTCATTTTTAATTAGTTTCTTACTTTACAAGTTAACTTCTATTCATTGTCTAGGGTTGGAATTAAACTTGATTGAGGAGAACAAAAAAAATTCAGAATAGCAAGACCACTCACAGCTGTTTTTTGATTGAGTTGTCATTGGAAAAAATGCAGAAGGAAAACTGCCTTATCTTATCTAGACAGAAATAGCTTTCTATTCACTTTGTGATTGTCACAGTCTGGGAAAAATCTAACTGATAAAAACACATTTATCAATCATTGTTTCTACCTTAGATACATTTTAATATTATCTTGGTTGTTCTCTTATTATTTTTATTTAGAAAACTCTTTTGTTTGCACACAGAATATTGTATGCCTTCCCATTTCATCTTAAAGCTTTCATTACCAAACATCTGATGGTTAATTTTATTTTTTTATAAAAATTCACAGAGATAATTAAGACAAAAAAATTGTGTCTGATTTTGTTATTCTTTCATTTTTTTTGTATAGTATTTTCCAAGTAGTTCTGGTAGGATGCATAGCTTGAAGAATTTTTCTGCTGTACTAACATTAACATCAAAAAGAGATTTGTTGGGATAGATTGTCTCAGTACATACTACTTTGGAGTTCATACTACAAAATGAGCATACTTTGCACCAGACATTGCTAGTTGGCATTGTACTTGAAAATAATAGCTTGAGTGCAAATGAATGCAAATATACATTCATGCTTGAGTGCAAATGAGTGGTGTAAAGGCACTAGCATGGCATCATCTTTTTCTGCATATACATTTAATGAAATTTCTCTGGAGCTATAAGGACACTTGACCTCTAAAACACCTTCTCAACAACACTTGCAAGATATCAAGCCATCTGGGGAAGCTCCTAAAATGGCCATTTATTGTTTAAAATTAACCCTGTCTTTAAGAAACTGGAATTCTCTGTGTTCTGCTTGCATAGCTTTTACATAGGCAGCTACTGCAATGCTCTCCATTTCCAAACCCTAAGCTACAGCTTCATTTGTAAATATGCACTCTGTTGGGTAACATATCTTTTTCATCCGGCACTTGCTTGGGTTGTAGACATCAGTACTGCAAGCTTGTTTGAATCTTGAAACAGCGATTGTGCCAGACCGGAGCCTAAACCAAAGCTTTGATTTTGATTGGCTTGCTGTCTCTTCCTGAATTCTCTGTGGATGGTTATGTGACAATACTGGTAGAACAACTTTATCACCTTTTTTTAATAATGTCAAAAGAGAAACCTGTGTTTGAAGGAGAATACAATTCTGGTCGGTACAGGTTCTTGATGGGTCCAAAAGGAACAAAACTTTCATAAAAAGGTTTTTGTTTTTGACAAAATTGCTGGTCTAGTACCACACAAACTAATCTTATTAAAAAATTATTTTTGCTTCTATTCTGATCAGTGTAGCAAGCATTTTCCATTTTCTTCTGGCCCATGACTTTCTTCTTTACCTTTACTGCCCAAATTGAAATCTTGCATCTTCCTAGTTGCTCCTTTAAAATCTATTTCTGCAACAGGTAAGTAAGGCACTGTTTTTACAGCTTTAGGCAGCACTCATTTGCACTGTTCTTGGGTACATGTTTTTTTTTGAACGATTAAATGCCTCTACGTAAAATAGAAGTTATGCAACATATGAGCAAGCTTCACCCAGACCAGCCATACATGTGCAATGGGAGGTTTCTATTTCCCCATCTGCTTTCAAAAGAACCCATTTATAAAATCATTTTTATAAGAAACTGGCTTTAAAAAAGGAGTACTAGAGAGTCAGAAAAATAAAGAAACTTCAGTACTTGAAGCAGAAAAATTAAGAAGATGTTAAATCATGATAAAAATGAGAAGGAGAAAAAAATTTGTAAAATCCAAGAACATGATTGCCCTGTTGGCCTAGAACATAAGACAAAGCATAAATATATACTTCCCGCATCTAAATACAGTATGAGAACGGAAGTGAATCTCTTGACGTACTAAAAAAGGGCACAAACATTTCGTAACATAACATAATTTCATAATAGTAGAAACATCGACAAGTCTAATTTTTTTTTGAAAATCCCTCCATCTTCTGTATTATTTCCTAACATTCAACTAAATTTCTGCCATAAAAACTTAAAAATTAAATATAAGGAACCCAAATCTAAAATTTACGACATCATAATCAAGAAACTCTTCAGAAACAACGAGTATTGAAATTTCCAGAACATTAAGAAACTGGAGTACTCAACATTGACCTTTGTTTCTTTTGAAAACTGAGTGTATACATATATACTCAGTGCCTATATCTATAGTATATTCAGGGTACAATTCATACGGGGGTCTTCAGATCATTACTGTAAGTACTTTCTAATTCAAAGGTACAATGGAAGAAATGCGATCTGCAAGAGACCACGCAACAATTTACGCTTACTCGGAATATTTTTTCACCAAGGTAGGGTAAGGCATATTTTATTAATTGTTTCGGAAGTAAATTATGTTTTATATAGTTTTTAGTAAACAAAGAAGATGCATTTTGGACTTTAGATATTTTTTATTATTGTAAAGGATATAAATCTGTGGCTACTTGGTACCAAAAATTAATAAATGGATTGACACTAAATCGCTGGCTTCACATGGATTCAGAAAGGTAATCTTCCACCATTTCTCAGTTTGTTGGACCGTACATTGCCTTGAACTTCGCTTTGGCCCTCTGCCATATTGCCTCTACTCTGTTTGTAGTTACCACTGTTAAGGGGGCAAGGAAATTCAAGGTTAACGGTGTTGTGTGCAAACCAAAGCTGTGGCAGGTCCGATATGCTGCCCACATATCCGTCCATATCGTTTAGTTGGGCTCCACCCATTGCTGGATGATCGGCAGTAATGTAGCTTGGTCCCTTGCAGGGACCGGTACCAGGAACCCTTAATTCGTCTCTGCTTTATACCTGCCCAGTATCCACTGCTCTCTCCCAAGGTGGCCACCCTCGTACTTTCGTCGCTCAAACAGACTTGTTGATTTCAACAATTGTCCATTTCCCCCTAGACGATCTGGGTGGTTAACAAAATGCTGGACAGCCACATCTTGACAAAACAGATTCCAGTCACTTATTTTCAGCTCGCTTATTTTCACTGCAACACAGACAGCCCCCTCGGGCAGCCCACACTTGTAGCCCACAGGTATGTCAAGCCGACAACCTGCAACAGCTTTAAATGCGAGCGCTTGAAAAAGCTGCATTTTCAAACGTTTATCTTTTTCTACATTTTGGACATCTCCATCATAGTCAGCTAATGTACATGACATCATACATCTTTGAAACTGAGGACTAAGTGCAATGACGGAACTCGCCTGTGGTTTGCTGTGGCATTAACAGGGCCCATGTATCCCTACAGAACAGTTAAGTGTTTTAGGCAAATGTATGAAAATGACCGCAGGAGATCATTCAGTAGTTTGTTTAATCTACAGGGACGTGTATGTCAGGGGAACTTCGTTTCGGGGAATTTTCTTCTAAAGCTGGAATTTCGCTTTTTCTTCAAGAGTTTCAATTCATAGCACACACAAACAGAGAAACACGAAAAAAGTGACTATTCTACTCTAAAGCTTTAAATATGCCCTGTTTTGAAGCACTTTCTTACAGTTGAATCTAAAGAACTTGTCTTGATGCGTGTGCAGCTAAAAAAACTCTCTCTTACGTTTTCGCCTGAGTCAGAGTATCTGCCATTGATAATTATGTATGTAGCCTTTGCTATAATTTCAGGTAACTAGTTTTTCTGCATAAGAACATTATCAAGCATTTAAAAGAGAGTTCCCTGACAAAATTTGGTGTAATCAAGCCTAAAGTCGCTTTTAAAAGCATTGTGTCAGTCTTCATTTTCCATAGTTTAGTGTTCAGAACATTGATTGACAGAGTTATTGGCAGTTGACATAGGAATTGAATTTCATGCTGCTTGCAATGAAGTCTTTCATCAAATGGTTGGAATGCGATAAGATCATACTACCACTTACGCACAAGGTTGCCATAGTTTGTATGACGTCGTGTACGTAAGCTGACTATGATCTAGTGCTGACCCCATCAATGCTGCGTCTGTACAGACCTTCTCATACATCGCACTCTTGTTCTGTGGAAAAGCAGCCCATGTTGCCTGCACCATGCAATTGTAGCCTTGTCATTGTCTTCAAATCGACGCCCAATTGCCATCAAGTTGAAAGACTTGAATTCTTGCATTGTTGGCAGTCATGGAACCTCAGCTTGAGCCATCATGATGTAAAAGCACTGAAGTATACTTGCAATGCACTTTATATAGTTAGGTGTCTCTATGAGTGGTCTCCAATCTAAGGAACACATTTAATGACATGGAGTGATGCCAAGGACGGTGGTGACTAACATTTACTGTATGTTTCATTCAAATGAATTGAAACTGGGCTTATAAGGAAGTTTGACTTAATTGCTGACATACTTTTCTATCATAGTATGTGTGGTACCATACTAATAAATCTTACATTGGCAGTGTTAATAAAATTTCAGATATACCTCCATCCGATCTTCAATGGTTTAACTTACTTTTTCCGGGTAAAATACGATAAATCTAGACAACACAGTAAGATTATAAGGTAGACACTCTTTAACAGGTTCGCCAATGGCGAGATTGTGCTTAAAGTAATATAATGAATGAATAAACGTATTTTGAGCTTCGCCAACTTCCGCCACCCTCCTCTTCGCCCTCTCGTGTAAATCACCACTGTATTTAGGCACATGAAAACCCCATGCAATGTTCCAAGCAGTCCAGAGGACACCCGATAGAACATTTCTTCAACTTTCCATTTTCAAAATTGATTTATCATATAAAAGTTGCCTCACTATAATCCTAAGGAGTTGAGATTGCGCAAGCTAATCGTGGAGGCGTGCCAATTTTGAGCTTCATGGCTGCAGCTTTGGAATATTTTTTGAAAATCACTCTAAACTGTAGGCGTGAATACTTTTCCAACAAGATATAAGCTGGTAATCAGCTTATTTACGATATTGAATGAAAATGAAAAAGGGGTTAGTAAGGGAAGTTGCACAATAACCCCCAAATATGTTTGATACTTGGGAGGGAATGGACAGGAAAATCCTTTTTTTCCCACTAAAAGCCGATGCATCAGTCCAAACATCAAAACCCAAATGATGTCTTCTTCCAAATGTCTTGACCTAAATCTCTAAAACAGTGCCTGCTGCAATCTGCTCCCTAGAAACGATATTGTCTCTAAGCCATAGCACGTAGTGCGCGTTTGTGGCAGTAGTAGATTGTTGCAGCTTCTCAATCCATACTCACTGTGTTTTTCAATAAATATATCCTTCATGAAAATAGGATCGAGCTCCCATTTTGTTTTATAAATTTCAATCATCAACACTTGTAAATTCCTGATGTGGATTGGGACCGCATTGTCTCTGTGTAACATTGTGCTAAAATCTCATTTCATATCTTTGTAAGTTGTCAAGAAAGTGAGAGGTTCTCGAGAGAGCATGTAGCTTTTGCCCAGCCTTTCTGCAAATGGACCTAAGTTGCTTTTTAAAGCATATGAAATTTCTAGCTAGTTTAATTTAATCCTTTTAGTTTGTATATTTCCTTACGCACAGGATCCTAATGATAACAGTATGCTTGTCATACTGATAGGTTATTCCTGTATAAACATTCGTGTATTATTATTATTATTATTTTTTTTATTATTTTATGAATGTTTTGTCCAGAATCACTCCAAGCAGCTTTTCTTCCGTGCTCTCTTTTGTCCTGACACTTCCGATATTCAATGAAAAATCATTACTTTTATTCCCAAAGTCCATTAGTTGGCATTTGTTCTCATTCAACTTCATACAGAAACCATTCTGCAATTTTAAGGGCATCACTCACTAATGTTTTGTTGTCACAAGCATAGATAGCTGAAAGACTAGGAAAACCAGCCGCATTGCCCATAAATTAGAAGAACAGATAGAAGAAAAACACAAGGAAGCGTGGCACAAGATACCATAACCAATAAGAAATAACAACAATTTCATGCGAATAAGTTATAGCTTGAAGGCCCCTGTGAAATTAACTCTGACGAAATTTCATTTTATCATCACAACAAAATTCGACTGACTTCTTAGGTGTGCAAGGAAACATGGGCCGCATTTAATGCACACAATCTAATGAATCACTCCCAAGAAAGGTGTATGACATTTATAAATTTTGAAAAAATCTCATGCTGAGGCAGAAGATTTTGGTATTTTTTAGTAGATGTTGTTTTTCTTTAAAATCTGGCATTTCATTGTTAAAAGCAAGATCATAAATACTTGGTCTTTTAAATGAAAATGCTGAGTTTCAGGAAGTTGATTATGATAACAATAATCTTCAGATGACTGTTTGTTACCGAACAGTGCACTGTAAAAAGTTTGTTCTTCATGCAATCGGTTCTTTTGGACGTGTGCGCCAAACAAAAACGAATTTCTAGCAAGGGCAAAACTTCTGCTTTGAAGTGGTTGCCGTCATAATTTGATTAAGCCCACCCCCCCTCCCAGGGACCTAAATCTATTTTTAGAACTTCTTAATTTAGAACGGCAAAAATACCTCTCAATATGCAAAATTATGTTCAAAATTGGCAAATTTGGCCAATCTGCAAACCGATTACTGTTAGTCTGGCCTGGTTCATAAAGTTATGAACCAAGACCAAATTGGAGAGGTTTGACTGAGAAGATCCTGTGCTGATGTGGCCATGTCTAATGGCATGAATTGTCATGTCACATTCAACTGATTATGTACATTAAGAGGTATTTCATAATGCTTATTTACAGTGGTTATTTTAAGTGGGGTCTTATTTAAAGTTTTTGCTTGAAAGGGAGGGGTTTCAGTTAGGTTACTGGTCCAAAAACTAGAAATTTTGTCTTTGAGGCTTTCAAAATTGCTGGCACAAGGTTATCAGGTATGCTGATTTTAAATATGATACTGAAATTTTAATCAAATAAATGGTTTCTATGGCAACAAAGAAAGAAAAGGTAAAAACATGCTTTGTTTCGTGTAGTAAAAAATTTCAATGAAAAAGAGTCAATGTAAAGCATCTTATCATACATAAAGTAGCTCCCTGAATGTGTGAGAGTGCACTTTGGACATTTTTTTCACTTTTAAACTCACAAAAATTGTTGCCCTTTTAATCAAAATTTTCGCTTTTAATCAAAAAAATCTACAAGCTGATATGTTGTAGGTTTGTTCAAGGCCATGCAAAATTTTATAGGCACAGTGCATGGGAAAATTTAAGGTCTAAAGTGCACTGTCCATACCATAACCAATCTTTTGATGTATAGACATCAATCATTTGCACTCCACTGAAAAAAATTTGCGTGCACTAAGTATCGTGAGCAGTGGAAAAATTGCTTCTGAGGAAAAATGTGTTTGAAAGTTTTTGATGTGTTTGTTCGCAAAAAAGATAGATATATTACTTAATAAGGGACATATTTTCGTTTAATTCATTTGTCTCTCTTTAATCAACAGTCAAATCCACAGGCAGACTATGTTTCTACTTCAAGATATTTTTTTCTTTGGTCTTTTGATTGCATCTTGTATTTTAAAATCTTTCTTCTATTTTTTGCAACTCAAGAAGCTGCTTTTTATATTCTCTTGCAGTCCTTTGCCACTGCTGACTTCACCAAATTCCCTTCTGGACTCATGTTGAGGGTTTTGCATAGTGCAACACGAAATCTTGCCCACATACTTAACTTGGCTGATGTTGATATCAAAAGATGAATTTGGAGAACTGGAGCCTCCAACACCTTCACATAGGTATTCTTTCTTCACAAATGGTTCACATTTTGTACATGAAACAGTTGAATATACAGAGAATCCACTCTTACTGTCATTCGAGGCATGAAAAACCAGTCCTGATTGTTTACATTTAGGGCAAAGTAAAGAAGCGAACATGCTTGCAAGGACTGACTTTTTTACAAATAAGTAGAACTCTTCTTGCGAAGAATCTGTTTTGCAATTGCTGCTTTAGCCAATCAGTTTTAAAAATTTCTCTTACTTCTATGGTAACGGATATCTTTTGTTCTAGGCCCAAAAGAGAAAACAAAGTCTACATGAGAATTCTGGAAGAAATGAGCTTTCATTTCATATATAGTCAACCTATGATCCGTAGAAGTAGGCCTCCTTCCTCTTATGATAAACTTTTGTGAAATAGCATTTCAAAATCAGCTGTTTTAGATGCTTTTCAACATATGTACCTTCCTTAATTTCGCTAAATTCAAGACTATAGATCAATATTTAAGAAAAAGAACCGATGGAAACTGTTCTTAGAAGGCTGTAGAAGCAAAAACAACAAAAATCTCAAATTCACTTTTTTGCTCCAAAATAAACATATTTGGGGCAGTGACCTACCTTAACAGGAAAAGAGGGCTTAGTAGAGCTTTTACGGTAACTTGGAACAGTAATATCACTTTTCCAAATTGTTCCTTTAAAAAACATTCCAAAACCAAACATTCTATCCGTTTTGTTTGTTTTGTAATATTTCACTTTTCGTTTCGTTTTGTTTCGTTTTGCCAAATGTTATCAGTTCAGTTCATATAATTTTAAATTCCAGTACATACAAATTTTGTCAAAACATTGAATACACTATAGGCTACAAGTTACAATACAAGTTTAAAGACTAAACATATCTACAGAAAAATTAGAAAATTTGCATGAAGAGGAATTTTTTAAGGAGGAGGTCTCTCAGTAGCAAAGCTAATTGAGGAGAGGCCACCCCCTTATAGAAAAATTTTAATTGATGAATATAACTTAGAAACATTTTGAGGAAAATATTGACGATTGTTATCTATAATCTGCTACCATGATTATTTTCAAAAAGAAAGGCTTTGAGTCTCTGACGAAAGATATGAACAGATGGTGACCGTTTTACATCTAAAGGAATTTCATTCCAGCACTTTGATCCACGGTGATGTATAGATCTGAGACCATATTGATTGGTTATATATTGTCCTTACGAGCCTGTCGTGTACCATATTGATGAATGGACGCCACAGATTTAAACAAGTTGTGGAAACAAGTAGGGGAGATTTTATTGACAGATTCATACACAAAAGTCAGAAGTTGAAAGAGATCATGCAGTTTTAATATTTTCAAACCAGAGAAGATAGGAGTTGAGTGCAAAGTAAAGTTCTCGAATGCAATTGCCCTTATAACCCGTTTCTGTAATAGGAATACTGGATTTGTATAAGTTTCATATGTAAGACCCCAAACTAAAATTCCCTATTGATTAAAAGGTGAAAATAAAGAATTGTAAAGACATATCAAAACATTTATTGGTAAGTGTCTTACTTTGAAGAACATGCCACAAATTCTTGCCAGTTTTTTAGAAAGCTGAGTCAAATGATATTTCCAAGAAAGATTTTCATCTAAGGGGACTCCAAGAAATATAGCATAGCAAATATTTTTGATAGGAAAAGTTCCAATTTTTATATTGATTATTTGCGAGGAGGGGTTCTGAATAGACTTGAAGGTAATAAAAATGTTCTTATCAATATTTAATGATAAATTGTTAACATCAATCCAAACTTTAACTTTTTTGGATTCAATATTAACTGTTCTTTGAAGCAAATCAAGATTATCAGCTTTACTGTAGATATTGGTATCATCTGCAAATAAGTAGAAGGCTAGGTTTGAGGATCAGTATGGCAAATCAATAATGTAAATTAGGAAAAGGAGAGGACCAAGGACTGAGCCCTGTGAAACTCCACAAGTCACACAATAACTTGAGTTTGATCCATATTGATACATATTGTTTTCTTTCTGTGAGATAAGGCTTGAACCAGTCTAAGATGGTTCCTCGAATTCCATAAAGTTCAAGCTTTGTCAGAAGAATTTCATGATTTACTGTACCACAACCGACTTTCTTATTATCTAATGAGTTCTTGTGGCTTCTGTTAAACTACCCAGGACATGGTTAATTGAATTACTAGTGCGAAATCCAAATTGTAAAGCATAAAGTATTTCCTGTTTTTCTAGAAATTTATAAAGACATTTATACCTGACTTTTTCTATGATTTTGCTGAAGATAGAAAGAAGAGAAATAGGTCTATAGTTGGATGCTTTTAGTGAACAACCTTTCTTAAACAATGGAATTACTTTGGCAAACTTCATTTTGTCTTGGAATACCCCAGATTGAAATTATTCATTTATGATGTGAAAAAGATCTGAAGATACAAGTGGGGAAAGGGTTTTTAAGATTTTCATAGGAATGCTGTTTGGTCCTAGAGATTTTCCAGTTTTAAGAAGAGAGATTATCTCAGATATTTCACAAGGAACAGAAGGTGCAGTAAAAAATGAATTTCCAATTCTGTCTCCAATGAAGTTCACAGGTGAATTATTGGATCTTGGTATAGTTTTTAGTGATATTATAAGACACATTTACAAAAAATTATTGAAAATATTGGCAACAACCATCGGATCTGATGAAATATTACCATTTGAGTCCTTAAGTTTATTTATAATATGAATATTACTTGATTGTCTAATATTTATAACTGATTTAATGCCGGACCATAATTGTTTCATGTTATTACTGTTCTTATGAAAATAATTGTAAAAGTAGCTGTTTTTACTTTCTTGCGAGGAATCTGAAACTCGATTTCTAAACCATTTATCCATGGCTTGTTTCTAAAGTTAATTTCTCTCTTTGTTAGCTTTTTCAAAGGAGCACGAGTTTCAACTAGTTCATCAAGAATGGATAGAAATCTGTTGAACTAAGCATTCATGTCCAAGCAACTGTGATTTAAAAATGCTTAATCAAGGTTTTCAAAATCATTTAGAAGATTTCCTTCATTAAACTTAGAAAAGTGATGTTGGTAATATGACAAATTTTTGTAGGATATGCCTGCATGCTTGACAATCAGAAATTGAGGAAAATGATCCGTTATATGTACCAAGATGTTGCCACTTATTGTCTCATTGTCAGATATGTTAGAAAAGATATTGTCAATAAGGGTAGAAGAATTCTCGGATACCCGAGATGGGTGAACAATAAATGGAAGAAATTGGTTTGAGAAAAGGAAGTTAACATGAATGGTAGTTGGTGTGTGAGAGTTATATTTCAGAAGATTGACATTGAAGTTACCAAGGTTTCGATACAAACAAAAGAACAGATAATTTTTACCATTTTTATTTTCAACTTCAACCCAAACTCCCTCAAAATTAGTACTGTCCATACCTAAATCAGACTTCACATAAAGCGCAACACCACCATTTTGACTATGTGACTGGCATGGAAAGTAACTAAATCCAGGAATTTCAACATTCATTTTTATGTGATTTGTAAAAGAATTCCAAGTTTCAGACACGCCAATGACATAAAAGTTAATGTTCAAGGAAGCAAGAGTTGAAACAAGCTCATTTAAGTAAAGTGAAAAACTTCTAACATTCATATGAAATAGAGCAAAATCGATTTTGAAGTGCTAAGACTAGATAGTTCTTGAAGAGTTTTATAACTTGAGTTGATATTAGAAGGTAGATGCTCATTAATATCGTAATCATACAGGCTAGGCAAGTTTGAGAGACCAGAGGTTATTTAAAATGATGGCATCGAGTCAACAAATGAAGGAAAATCAAAATCATATAGATTGATAAGTTCATCATTATCCAGTTGACCAAAGGGAAACATGATTTTAGTACATTATAAGCAAAACCAAGACACATCATCAGGTTCTTTTTGCAGTTCTTTATATTCAGAACTAGAAATTGCATTGCATTTTATATGAACCCAGAATTTGCAGTGATTACAGTAAACATATTTAGCTTGAGCAAGTATATCTTTGTGACAAATGCCACAAGGAAAGGTATCAGTTATAACCATTACATCCTAAAATGAACTTGAATAGCTTCAGATAGCAAATCAACTAAATTACCACTGAAGTAGGCAAGTGAAAAGACAACACAGAAACACAAATTCATAATGTCTTACTCATTACTTTCAAGAAGGGTTCAAGGAAGGTTGACAGAAACCTCACCATCATCATCAGCATCATCAGCATCATCAGGCCTGGCATTGGTGGCTGCAAATTTCCAGTCTGGTGGCTTGTCTTTCACAATCAGTCTGTCCTTTATTAAATATGCTAACTTACCCTGCTTTCTCATCTTTTGCAACATAGGGATTTGTGCTTGTCTTCTAGCCAAGGTGTTAGCAGAGTAGTCATTATAGAACAATATACCATCAGGCTTTTCTTCCTTGCTTTCATTACTATCATCTTCTTCTGTTTCCAGTGTGTAAGTTTAGCAACAATATGCCTGGGTTTATTCTCGTCATGCCCTGATGAGACAGGTTTATGGTTCACTCTGTGGCATCTTTCAATTTGAATTACTTCTTGAATGCCAAGTTTTTTCCTTACCAAATCTTTGACAGTGCGCTTGGTATCATCCCAGGTCTTCTCTACTTGATTCTGGAATCAATCTAAGATTGTTATGTCTACTCTGATTCTCTGCACACTCTTGTTTATCCTCCAAGTCTTCAATCAACCATCCTCCCCTCAGTCATACTGAGTCTGATTTCAATGCCTTGTAACTGGCTCTGTTTTTCTTCGCATTTCACTTGAGAATATTCAAGACTGGCCCTCACTTCGGCTACATCTTTTTGAATTAATCTCATTTCCTGTTTCATATCACCAAACGTAAGTTTGAATGCGATAGTATAAGCAGAAGACTGTGTATGCAAAAGTTCGCGAATCCTGTAAGAGTCATCAATTGGAAATTTAGGCCTGTTAGGCCATGTACGTGCTGAAACGTCCCGAATAAAAACTGACGATAATTATGAAACTGAACTGATTTCAATTTGAAAAACATTTGTATTGTTCCAGAAATAGCAGAATGGGGCTTAATAATAGAACATAGAGCAGTAGTTGATGAAGAAGGCACATCTATTCATTGCCATGAGCCTTTTCAAAGATCAAACCGACTAGATTTTCTATTGAAATTGAAAGGTTGCATTCTGTAAACTTTGTCAAATTTTTTAAATAGTGAAAATCTATTTGGTGCAGCATGTCCGTTTTGCTTGTCTTGTAAATTTTTACTGGAATATTAAAAATGTCCGTTTTGATCAAATTTAGTATTTAAGCATTTTTCACAAATCAAGATTTTTTAAATGTAAATAATTGTATATTTTAAAGTTGAAAAAAAGATCCCTTACATTTTCGTTATCTGAGTATGCCTTCATTTTGTTTCATTAAAGGGAATTGAAGCATATTTAAGTGGCTCAGAGCCAGCAAGCTCAAACTGTCAATCAAACATCAACCAATCACAAGTGTCATCTACCATTTCACGTGGTCACTTTTATTCTCTATGCCATAGCAACGCGTGGCGAGATAATCGATCGATAATAATGGCGGACGAATTTGTCTCTCCCCCTGTGAAAGTGCAAAAACGGAAACGAAACAAGAAGAAATATTCCCTTTTCATCGGCTATGGCGATGAAGCAAAGAAAGTTGCTGATGGTCCTGATGTTTTGAAGGATCGTCTCCATTGTGAATCAAATTTTGAACTGCTAAAATGGATTATAATGGAGATAAACAAAACTCATCTCATTGGGCCTATTTTAAACCCAGTTGATAGCCAACATGACGTCTGATGTCCAGGGATTTTGCAGAATTGCGGCAATACCATTTCTGAGCCAGAAGTACAGAAAACAACAACAACAAGTCCAAATGTAGACATCTTTTGATAGGGGTTATGTTGTTGCAAAAAGATATTTGTTTTTGATACGTTTTGTTAGTACCATTTGCCACATGCCAAAAGGTTTTTGCAATGCCAAAATGTTTTTTTGTTTCCCTGTTTAGCTTTGCAAATAACACTTGTAACAAAATCTGCTTGTTATTAAGATGGAATTGTGCACCCTGTCTAAGACCATGATTTGTTCATATAGCCATAGGAAATGTACTTTCATCATATTGTAGAAGTTATTGTGGAAGGGTAGGTATTTATCTATTGAAAGTCTTAAAGCTAACAGGTGTAAATTCTTGAGTAAATTTTTCCCTCAGAACATCAGTGGACACGCTTTTAAGCCTGAAGGCCTATCTTTCTGCAAAACAAGCAGACATCAACCCAAGTGGAAACAATGAGTATTACATCATTAATCAATTATATATATTTTTCTAGTTCGTAGTGTACGCAGGTAGCTCTACTATTGGTGTAACAAAAAATACTCTACCCACCAACACAGGTGACCTGGGCCAATTTTGTGTTCTAGACCTTATGCTAAAATTCTACTCATCTTACAACAATATTTATGGTTTATGTAGCCCCTAAAAAGTGTATATAAAAGATGACTATTTCAAGCTCCTTCACCCATGTTGAACAGGTATACAGGGTTTAGCAAAGTTTTAGCATTTTTACCAACCTTCCTAATATTGCATGATAGAGTATCTTATTCTAATTCATTCCTAAATTTATTTTATTTATTCTAGGCTAGAAATAGTAAAAAATGATGATGTGTTGAATGAAGAGGAGGATTCTCAAGATGATAATTTTCTGGAAGAGTAAGGCCTTACTGGGATTACTGTACACACTCCACTAAGATTATTGTATATATCTGATCTTTTGAGCTTCCCAGATGTGGGTTTCACCAAAGTATTATTTTTCTTGTCATACAGTGGTTTTTTCAATACAGTCCTCAAGGATACTTTCATTTGTCAAATGATTTAATAACTATGTCAATGTATGCAAACAATTGCAAAGTTAGCTGTATTCACCATTAACTCATTTTTTCAGCATGTTGACAAGTATCCCACAATTTGACATTGTGCAGTCAACACCAATAAGGACAGCTGAATTCAAGGCAGTTGATGACGACGAGCTTGTGCCTGAAGAGTCTTTTCTTAAAGAGGCTGTAGAAGAAGAAGAGACAACCGAGAGTATGTCAAATTCAGCAGAGGATAACTTTACCAGCCATGATCATTTCCAATCTGTCTCATATGGTGATATTGGTGACGAAATAAAGGCTGTCGCAGAGCCTAAGTGCTTTGTAATAATGATGCAACTGAAAGTGCTCCTTGGTGACAAATGCCAAGTTCAACATTGCAGCAAAGCTATAACATCGATTGAAGACAAAATGTGTGGGTATTGTGTTAAGCTGGTTTGGTTTTGTGAAATGGGACTCAGAGGAGTATGGTATTCTAGTGGTTTCTATGCTGCTGGTTTTGCAATCAACTATGTCATTGAAGGTGCATTACTCTTGGTTGGTGGCTCCATCACACAATTCAAACGATTTTGCAAGTTCAGCAATCTTGGTTCCAGCAGCACTACCTCCTTTTACACCAATCAATGTCTCTGTGTTTCGCCAACAGTAGATCAGGAATTCAATGAGGAACGAGACAGGATCATCAAGGAAGTTCAGTGTAGAAATTTAAAAGTTACCATCTGTGGCCTTTTTGCCTCGAAGGGAACATACACCTTGATGGATTATGAAAGTAAAAAGCTCCTAACAATGGAATGTGTTGATAAGAGAGAAGTCAATCTAAAATCTACCCAGTTAACTTGGTTGGCTACCAATTGCAGAAAGACGGGAATTCAATCTATTAAAACTGACTTTCAAGGCAATTCACAACACTTACTGGCCTACAATTAATGCACTCGATCTGCAAACTTGTAACAGAGTACTGTGAAGTAGTAACGAAACTCGTATAAGGCCATCACTAATGGCAGATACTTTTGAAGATGCCGCTGCAAAGTCCTTTAATGCCTTACCTGAATCAATGAAATCTCAGTCTTGCTTTACGACATTTTGTTCCAACTTAAGAGGCATTTATTTGAAAAAGCGAGCAACAAATTGGACTAAAAAACATTATTTCTTCTTTTTTTTATAATTATGTAACTGTTGTTAACTTTTGATCCTGTAATTTGACTTTGCACGACACTTGTAGTGGATATGCTCGATTGTACCATTATTATTATTAATATTATTTTTATTATTAGTTAGAGGTTCATCTTTTTATGAAATGCATGCATTGAATTCTTGAAAAACTTGATGGGCTTGTGGATGAAGTTTGTACTGATGCAGACACTAGTATTTTATCTTTAATGAGTAAGTGGCAAATGCAAATATATTTTTAAAGAAACAAAAGTATACTGGCCAATCAACAAAACAATTTGTGTTTACAGTAGATCTCATTGCAAATAGTACTTATAATAGCATAGTAAAAAAAGAAGCTGAAACACAAAATGTTCCATTTTAATTAGATTTCCTAAAATACTTTCCTATTATAGGAAAGGTTTATCAACATGGCTTATAGTAGAAGTTTAGTTGAGTTGGTAACTGTAATATAGCATTGCTTAATTTCACACATGCTAATCAATATGGCTAACTGATAAGAAAAAACAGCAACCTAGACCTGTGCTTGCTACCAAGCTACCACCTAGTTTTCATTGACTGATCTTAGAGGTGGATCTCTATCATCTGACAGTGTCCTGCCAAGATATTCTAAAATTTTAAACAATACAATTTGTCAAGATGTCAAGATGTCTATGCCTAAATTGTGTTTCATATGTTCACATTTGCCATTGCTAGATTTTTTTGACCAAAGTAAGAGGCCTGTTTTATAAAAGTGTTTTGGATTTTTCTACAGGAAACATGACTTTTATATCTCCATTGAAGCACAGTCTTGATGTTTGGCACAAAGCAACTAAACTTTCTTCAAAGCTTGGACAGGTATATTTATGATACTGTGCAGCTATAAAATTGTGTGACTTCAAGGCCATCTGCATTGTCAACAGCTGCCTTCCTCAGAGCATAGTTTGCACATCCTTAGAGTGAACACGGACCTGGTGGAACATGGATTCAACATCTGCCATCAGTGCCACTGATTCTTGACGGAATTGGAGTAGAACGCCAACAAGTGAATTCGTAAAATCAGGGCCTTGCAGTACATTGCCACTGATTAATCACATTGTGATGTGGGAGATACCATACTGCTCCATCATTTCTACTGATCTGATCTTGAGGAACCTTTCTTGCGTGGTCTTTCACCATGAAGTCATCAATAAACTTGGTATACTTCTCACTGAGGCCAACATCCCTTGACAACTTCCTCTTCAGGTGTTTCAGTCTGTGCTCCGCCACTGATTTGTTATTTGGCAGTCATGGCTGGATATCTCTCCATGGTATAACAAGTTGATAATGCCCATCAACAAGTTTGGCTGTGTCATCAACTACTGCCACTGTCTTCTTATCTTCCATCAACATTGCTTTACAGTTGTCGGTAGCTGAGTGACAAAAATCAAGATTGATGTGCTGCTTGAAAGGTTTCTCTAATATGTCGTCATTTTTGCATGAAGAAATAAGATAGCATTGCTTACGTTCTTGACCATACCTCCAAAGTGGGCCATTAAGCTTCCATCCAAATTTCGTCTTCACTGCATAAGGACCACAATTTTGTGCTCTTCTAACTGTTGGGAAACTATGCCTACGTCTTTTGTTTTCTTTTTAGTTGCTTTTAGGGTTTTTAACGGATTGTTGAACCATTTGTTAACGCTTAACGTATTTTAAATAGTGCTTTCAACGCCTTTTATTTTATTGAGTCACGCTGTTAGATGCTTTGTTAATTTGCCTTTTGTATTAGCATGGCATGATTCGAGTCAAGTGTATGATGTGATCAGACGTAAAATCTTACAAAACTCGCCTTTTTCTTCGGAGTGCTTCTTGATCAATGTAAGCAAAAGAATTTCAGCAAGAGTTGAAAAAGAGTACCAACAGATGGTCCACCGGAGTCGGAGGCATTGAATCAAGATGGAAAGTTTGGAAAAAGCGAAGAAAAGGAGAAAAATATTCCGGACGAGTGTCACGAAGACCGCAAATAAAGTAAAAGAATTGGTAGAGGACAGCGAGTCTATCGAAGAGGGAACATTGGAATATTTAAAAGCCGAGCTTAAAGAGAAACAAACGGAGATAAAAAAGAGTGATGAAGAAATTTTGGAATTGCTTTTAGAGTATGTTGAAGAGGAAGAGCAATTGGATAAAGAAATGGACGAAGTTGGGGAATACAAGATTTTGAATGCTATTTATTCGATAAACTGCCTTTTGAATACCAAAGAAGAACCAAAGAACAGCATCGCGAGGAGTGTATCGAAGGACAGTTTAAATTCGGAAGTATCAAGTTTGTCCCCAAGTTCGAGAAATGTCACAAGAAAAACCGTTGTGAAACTGCCTAAATTGGAATTACAGAAATTCACGGGGAAAATACACGAGTGGCCGGAATTCTGGGATGGTTTTCAAAGTGTACACAAGAATCCAGATTTGGCAGCGTGTGATAAGTTTAAATATTTGAAGAGTTTTTTAGAAGAATCTGCTTGAATGTGCTAACAGGAATGCCCATGACAGACGAAAATTATGACATCGCTGTCAACCTTCTGAAGAAAAGATTTGGCAAACAGGAAGTAATACAGCAGGCCCACATTAGCCACCTCCTGGGGCTCCACCCTGTTTACAACGACAAAGCCGTCAGCCGATTGCGCAATCTGCACGACGAAATCAAGACACATTATCGCGGGCTCGAGGCTCTTGGTGTCAACAATTCCTCGTTTTCTGCAATTGTCGTGCCAACGCTTCTTGAAAAGGTACCGGAAAATATCAGGGGTCAGATGATTAGGAGTTCGGACAAAAATTATTTGAAGTTGACGATAGATGAATTACTATGTGCCTTTGAAAAAGAAATCTCGATAAAAGAGTGCCAAATGCCTCTGGGAAGTTTGGGGGGCGGAAAAGATTTGACAAGCCGAGCCAATAACAACAACATTAGGCCCAGAAGCAACTTCAACAAGGAGGGAACTGTCTCGTCGCTACTGGTTGGTGAAAAGGCAAACAGTTGTGTTTTCTGTATGAGAGACCATGCTTCTGAAACATGCACCAATGTTTTGGGAGCGGAAAACCGGAAGAATGTGCTAAGAAGATGTGGTGAATGTGCCTATGGTATCTTTTGATGGAAAGAGGAAGATTGAAATTGAATGTTTTGTTGTCAGTAACATTTCTCATATTAAGAATGTTCACCCAGAAGTTGTAAAGAAATCTTATACCCATTTGCATAATATATGGTTTTCAGATATTTCTAGGTTGGAATCATTAACAATTGATGTTTTAGTTGGCTCAGACTGGCTATGGAGTTTTATGGATGGTGAAGTTAAACGAGGGGGGGCCAGGTGAACCTGTGGCCATCAAGACTGCAATGGGATGGGTGCTGTCAGGCCCATTACAAGGTAAGAAATCAGATTTTAATGAGTCAAATTTCAACTTTATGTCTGAATCACCAATTTTGCTTTTGAAATGTGACAGATCTGCATTAGAAGATAAAATTCAGAAGTTGTGGGACCTTGAAACAATTGGAATTCGTGAAAGAAATGAAGTACATGAGACCCTGTTAGACAACATCACTTTCAATGGCGAACGATACTTCGTTGGTCTACCATGGAAGGCAGGTAATAAAGTTTTACCTACAAACTTTGACAATGCTTTAGCCAGATTTAACAGCCTTATTAGAAAACTTAAGAAAGACCCTTCTACACTGCAAAAATATGATGATATAATAAAAGAGCAGGTTGAATTAGGTATTGTTGAACAAGTATCAGAAATGGATGTCACTGAAAAGGTACACTACCTTCCCCACATGGCTGTAGTGAGAGAAGAAGCAGAGACAACAAAAGTTAGGGTTGTCTATGACGCATCCTGCAAAGACAAAAAATTTGGTACCTCTTTAAATGATTGTCTGCATGCAGGCCCGTCTCTCTCACCTTTAATTTTTGACATTTTGCTTCATTTTCGTGAAAGTAGGGTAGCTCTTGTAGGAGACATAGAGAAGGCTTTCCTCAACATTGAGATTAACCAAGAAGACAGAGATTGTTTGAGGTTTCTATGGTTAGATGGTATAAACAAAACAGAGCCTAAAATTTGCATCATGAGATTCAGACGTGTTGTTTTTGGTGTAAATTCATCGCCCTTTCTCCTGAACGCTGTTTTGCGACACCACATTGGTAAGTATCAAAATGTTGATCCAAATTTTGTATCAAAGTTGACAGAAAGCTTTTACGTTGATGACCTAGTTACAGGTACAAAGAATGTCAATGAAGCAAGATCGCTATATTTGAATGCAAAGGAAAGAATGCAAGCCGGGGGGTTCAGACTCCGAAAATGGAAAAGCAGTGATCCCACTCTAAACAGTGAGATTAAAGAAGAGACCAAATCAGAAGAAAAACACAGTGTAGCTGAAGATTCCACCTATGCAAAAGAAAGCCTTAGGGGTGCAAGTGCTGAAGGTAAGAAGAGTAAGGTTTTAGGGGTAATATGGGACAATATGACTGATAGATTGGAATTTGACTTTACTAGGATGTGTGACAAGGTAAACAAATATCATCCTACAAAGAGAGGTGTTCTGAGTGTTTTAGCATCTCTTTTTGATCCTCATGGTATTTTAAGTCCTGTGGGTGTAACTGCTAAGATTTTGTTTCAGGATCTGTGTAAGTTAAATGTAGGTTGGGATGAGCCTATACCAGACTTATTGACAGCAACATGGAAATTATGGCTAGAGGATCTTGAAAGGGTGCAAAATATCAGTTTACCAAGATGTCTTTATGATGCTGATAGTGACAAAGTAAGATCTGTAGAAATTCATGCATTTGGTGATGCAAGCAGAAAAGCATACTGCGGGGTGGTATATCTGGTATATGAAACACCTGAAGGCATTAAAACAACATTGCTGTGTTCAAAAAGTAGAGTTGCTCCTTTGAAGGAAATAACAATTCCAAGGCTAGAATTGTTATCAGCCAAGATCTTAGCCACTTTGGTAGACACTGTGGTGAAAGCTCTCAGTTCTCAATTGGAAATCACAAATATAAAGCTATGGCTAGACAGCAAAACAGCCTTAAGTTGGATCCAGGGTCAAGGTGAATGGAAGCAGTGGGTCCAATTTAGAGTTTCAGAAATTTTGAAGGTGACAAATGCAGATGATTGGGGAAATGTGAAAGGATCAGAGAACCCCGCTGATATTGGTTCAAGGGGCACAAAAGTTAGCCAACTAATGAACAGCAAGTTGTGGTGGGAAGGTCCCCATTGGCTGAAAGAGAGAAGAGAAAACTGGCCTTCACAAGAGGAAATTGCTCCAAACTCCGAAGAGGTTAACTGTGAGAGAAAAAAGGTAACAGTAATGGTAACAACTGTTGAATAACCTGCTGGGGTAAGTAGCTTAATCGATATCAGCAAGTACAGCACTCTCAAAAGATTGCTTAGAGTAACATCATTCGTTTTCAGATTTGGTGGAAATTTAAAGGCAAAGATAGAAGGAAAAGCTTTGCAGTTAGACAAATTGAGTGCAGAAGAAATTATAAGAGCTGAAAAAGAATGGGTAAAAGATGCACAATCATTGGTGAAATGTAGTAAAGTATTTGAGAAAGTAAGAACGTTAGCAGAACTCAGAGCCAGATTTTGGGTAACTAAGGCTAGGCAATTTGTAAAAAAGGTCTTACATTTATGTTTTGTTTGCAGGAAATTGGAAGGAAGACCATACCAACCACCACCAACAGCCCAAATGCCAGACTTCAGAGTAAAAGAATCTATTCCATTTGCAAATGTTGGGATTGACTTTGCAGGCCCGTTATATGTGAAAAGTAAAAAACAAGCCACAAAGAAGGTATATATTTGTTTATTCTCATGTTGCGTGACTAGAGCCCTGCATCTAGAGTTAGTTGAAGATTTATCTACTCCTACATTCTTGAATTGTTTGAGGAGATTTTGTGCAAAAAGGGGGCACACCAGAAGTAATTAACTCTGATAACGCCAAGACATTTAAATCAACTTCAAAGTTTTTGAAGAAACTTCATGGAGACAGGAATGTGCACACTTTTCTAGAATCAAAAAGAATTGACTGGAAATTCAACCTTGAGGTAAGTCCTTGGCAAGGGGGGCACTTTGAAAGAATTATAAGAAGTGTTAAGAGATGTCTGCGTAAAGTACTTGGAAATGCTAGAGTGACTTCTGACGAATTACGTACGGTTTTGTCGGAGGTAGAATGTATTCTTAACAACAGACCTTTGACATATTTATATGATGAGGTGGATGGAGAAGTGTTAACTCCATCACATCTATTGGTAGGTAGAAGATTAAGCATGCTTTCAACAGGTATTGGTTGTAAATTGAGATTTGATGAAGACGATCTTCATTCATCACATTGTAAGCGCTTTTCTTACTTAACCAGATTGTTGAATAGTTTTTGGACTAGGTGGAAGAAGGAATACCTCATAGATCTGAGAGAATCTCACCGAATGAGCAAGAACAACCCAGCAAACATTAATGCAGGAGACATTGTAGTAGTGCAAGACGAAAATCTTAAGAGAGGTCGATGGAAAATTGCAAACGTCAAGGATGTAATTCGGGGTAAGGATGGTCACATACGCGGTGCCAAGGTATGCAAAGCTGGAAGAGGTAAGTATGAGCCTTTAACTAGACCAATTCAAAAACTGTATCCTTTAGTGAGTGGAAATGGAGCTATGAGTAAGGAGGATGGAGTGAAAAAAGAGAATTTCTCAGAGAATAAGGAGAATGAGAGGTCCGCAGGGGAGCGACCCATAAGAGCTGCAGCAAACAACGCGCGTCTTAAGATGCTACAGTTACTTGATGCATAGGAACATGCGCCAAGGAGGGGGGGTGTGTTGGGAAACTATGCCTACGTCTTTTGTTTTCTATTTAGTTGCTTTTAGGGTTTTTAACGGATTGTTGAACCATTTGTTAACGCTTAACGTATTTTAAATAGTGCTTTCAACGCCTTTTATTTTATTGAGTCACGCTGTTAGATGCTTTGTTAATTTGCCTTTTGTATTAGCATGGCATGATTCGAGTCGAGTGTATGATGTGATCAGACGTAAAATCTTACAAAACTCGCCTTTTTCTTCGGAGTGCTTCTTGATCAATGTAAGAAAAAGAATTTCAGCAAGAGTTTGAAAAAGAGTACCAACACTAACCTCTACTGGTTCCAACGCCTCTGACACATCAACACCAATGAGGAGACCAACATCTTGATTCGTAAGTGCCCTTGGGACTGTTATACCATGCAGGTAAGGCCAATTGTCTACATCTTTTTGCTTCGTGATTGATTCCAACGACACATTCAGTTTCTTCACAGAGAAGGCATTTGGGACTTCAATCATGACATTCTTGTCCAGGTCCATGACATCCAAGTTGACCATGACACATTTGTGTTGCTCTTCATTGTTGACCGTAGCCAATGACATTTTGCATCGCGTTCCAGAGATTCCAAGTTTCTTCAAGATGTCTTCTGTGCAGAATGAAGCAGTTGAGCCAGTGTCTAGCATAGCATATGTACATATCACCTTGTTCTGACAGCTTCCTTTGATCTTTACTGGCACAATCATTTTCTTGCTCTGACAACCCTTTGCTACATCCGGCCCCAGTGTGCATATTCTCTCCAACAAACTGACTTTGATTTGTACTTCTGGACTGCTGCTGATCTGTAGTTGTTCCAGATGCTGTCTCACAACGTTTATTCTCAAAAACCATAACTCATGTAACAATGTCATGTGTTTTCTTCTCAAAAGATAACCAGGTACTTTGCACTCATTTCGATGCTTGCAGCCAGCTGAGAAGTGACTCGAAGACAAACAGTTGTCACACAGTTTGCGACAATGAATGAATTTGAGTTGTTCCACACCAGTTTTGCCCTTGAAATCTCCATATACATCGAGTTTATGCTTCCCTTCACAAAGGTAGCATCTTGCATTTCCTTCATTGTCACTTGGTTTCTGGTCTGCACTTGTCTGGATGTTGAAGTTCACATGCCTGCTGTGACTTGACTTTTCACCCACCTGCCCAGGTCGTCCCTGTTGTAGTTCTAGAAAAGACGCTTTATTTAAAGGTGTTAATCAAAATGCGTGAGTGAACATCATTTCTATAACCTAACATACTTTTTCAAAAGCATTGTTCTTTGAGTTGTTTTTGTACGGCTTTGTTGTTAAAAGTTTAATATTCGAAAACAGTTCTAATTTTTTTGTTCTTATATGTCTGTTTAGGCGAAAACACAACAGATTTTTGGCGACGAGAATTGTGGAAAACGATTTACTAATCAGTCCTAGGATTTGGCAACGATTATCGCATAGTACCACTCCTTTTCCAAGGTTGTTTTGCAGTGAGGGTTCAACGAGCGTTTGAGATGGCGGCGCAAGATTTAGTTCTGCTCCTTCAACAGCAAATTGAACAACAAAGAATAATGATGGAGACAGGATCAATGTCACCAGGAACAACTTCAGGCTATTTTAGCTATGGCCAGGAAATCTGAGGAAAATGAACCGATTAAAACGTTTACAGGTGGTATACAAAGTTTTTTTGCTTTCGATTCAGCGACCGAATGGTGGACGGATTACGTTTGTCCCTTGTTGTCTGCATACTTCCATCCTTGGGAGGGGGCAAGCAAGGGCAAAGAAGCTTTCTGGGGGCCATTCCATTTCTGAGGGCCAGAAAAAAGAGAAAAATCCCAAACAAAGTCAAAAACGATTGAACAGCTATAGAAGAAATCTTGATGTTTTAATAGAAAAAAATTTTAGAAAACTAGGAGGGGGAAGCAAGGGCAAAGAAGTTTCTGGGGGCCATTCCATTTCTGGGGGCAAGAAAAAAAAGGAAGATCCCAAACAAAGTCAAAAACGATTGAGCAGCTATGGAAGAAATCTTGACGTTTTAATAGAAATTTTTTTTAAAAAACTGGGAGGGAGCAAGCAAGGGCAAAGAAACGTTTTGGGAGCAATTCCATTTCTGGGGGCCAGAAAAAAGAGAAAGATCCCAAACAAAGTCAAAAACGATTGAACAGCTATAGAAGAAATCTTGATGTTTTAATAGAAAAAATTTTTAAAAAACTGGGAGGGGGCAAGCAAGGGCAAAGAAGTTTCTGGAGGCCATTCCATTTCTGGGGGCCGGAAAAAAAAGAAAGATCAAAAACAAGGTCAAGAAACGATTGAACAGCTATGGAAAAAAATCTTTATGTTTTAAAAGAAAATTTTTTTAAAAAACTTGGAGGGGGCAAGCAAGGGCAAAGAAACGTTTTGGGGGCCATTCCATTTCTGGGGGCCAGAAAAAAGAGAAAGATCCCAAACAAAGTCAAAAACGATTGAACAGCTATAGAAGAAATCTTGATGTTTTAATAGAAAAAATTTTTAAAAAACTGGGAGGGGGCAAGCAAGGGCAAAGAAGTTTCTGGAGGCCATTCCATTTCTGGGGGCCGGAAAAAAAAGAAAGATCAAAAACAAGGTCAAGAAACGATTGAACAGCTATGGAAAAAAATCTTTATGTTTTAAAAGAAAATTTTTTTAAAAAACTTGGAGGGGGCAAGCAAGGGCAAAGAAACGTTTTGGGGGCCATTCCATTTCTGGGGGCCAGAAAAAAGAGAAAGATCCCAAACAAAGTCAAAAACGATTGAACAGCTATAGAAGAAATCTTGATGTTTTAATAGAAAAAATTTTTAAAAAACTGGGAGGGGGCAAGCAAGGGCAAAGAAGTTTCTGGAGGCCATTCCATTTCTGGGGGCCAGAAAAAAGAGAAAGATCCCAAACAAAGTCAAAAACGATTGAACAGCTATAGAAGAAATCTTCATGTTTTAATAGAAAAAAATTTTAAAAAACTGGGAGGGGGCAAGCAAGAGCAAAGAAGTTTCTGGAGGCCATTCCATTTCTGGGGGCCGGAAAAAAAAGAAAGATCAAAAACAAGGTCAAAAAACGATTGAACAGCTATGGAAAAAAATCTTGAAGTTTTAATAGAAAATTTTTTAAAAAACTGGGAGGGAGCAAGCAAGGGCAAAGAAACGTTTTGGGGGCCATTCCATTTCTGGGGGCCAGAAAAAAAAAGAAAGATCCCTGTCAAAGTGAAAAAACAATTGAACAGCTATGGAAGAAATCTTGAAGTTTTAGTAGAAAATTTTTAAAAAAAACTGGGAGGGGCAAGCAAGGGTAAAGAAACTTTCTGGGGGCCATTCCATTCCTAGGGTCCAGAAAAAAAAGATCTCTAAAAAAGTCAAAAAACGATTAAACAGCTATGAAAGAAATTTTGAAGTTTTAATAGAAAGTTTTTTTAAAAAACTGGGAGGGAGCAAGCAAGGGCAAAGAAACGTTTTGGGGGCCATTCCATTTCTGGGGGCCAGAAAAAAAAAGAAAGATCCCTGTCAAAGTGAAGAAACAATTGAACAGCTATGAAAGAAATCTTGAAGTTTTAATAGAAATTTTTTTTAAAAAACTGGGAGGGGACAAGCAAAGGCAAAGAAACTTTCTGGGGGGCAGAAAAAAAAAAGATCCCTACCAAAGTCAAAAAACGATTGAAGAACTATGGCAGAAATCTTAATGTTTTAATAGAATTTTTTTTTAAAAAACTGTGAGGGGGCAAGCAAGGGCAAAGAAACTTTCCTTGGGCCATTCCATTCCTATGGGCCAGAAAAAAAGAAAGATCCCCAACAAAGTCAAAAAACGATTGAACAGCGATGTAAGAAATCTTGAAGTTTTAATAGAAAATTTTTTAAAAAAAACTGGGAAGGGGCAAGCAAGGGCAAAGAAACTTTCTGGGGGCCATTCCATTTCTGGGGGCCGGAAAAAAAAGAAAGATCCCTAATAAAGATCAAAAAACGATTGAACAGCTATGGAAGAAATCTTGAAGTTTTAATAGAAATTTTTTTAAAAAAACTGGGAGGGGCAAGCAAGGGCAAAGCAGCTTTCTGGGTGCCATTCCATTTCTGGGGGCCAGATAAAAAGAAAGATCCCAAACAAAGTCAAAAAACGATTGAACAGCTATAGAAGAAATCTTGGTGTTTTAATGGAAATTTTTTTAAAAAAACTGGGAGGGGGCAAGCAAGGGCAAAGCAGCTTTCTGGGGGCCATTCCATTTCTGGGGGCCAGAAAAAAAAAGAAAGATCCCTGTCAAAGTGAAAAAACAAATGAACAGCTATGAAAGAAATCTTGAAGTTTTAATAGAAATTTTTTTTAAAAAACTAGGAGGGGACAAGCAAAGGCAAAGAAACTTTCTGGGGGGGGCAGAAAAAAAAAAGATCCCTACCAAAGTCAAAAAACGATTGAGCAACTATGGAAGAAATCCTAATGTTTTAATAGAATTGTTTCTTAAAAAACTGGGAGGGGGCAAGCAAGGGCAAAGAAACTTTCTGGGGGCGAGAAAAAAAGAAAGATCCCTACCAAAGTCAAAAAACGATTGAGCAACTATGGAAGAAATCATAATCTTTTAATAGAAATTTTTTTTAAAAAAACTGGGAGGGGGCAAGCAAGGGCAAAGAAACTTTCTGGGGGCCATTCCATTTCTGGGGGCAGGAAAAAAAAGAAAGATCAAAAACAAGGTCAAAAAACGATTGAACAGCTATGGAAAAAAATCTTGATTTTTTAAAAGAAAATTTTTTAAAAAACTTGGAGGGGGCAAGCAAGGGCAAAGAAACTTTCTGGGGGCCAGAAAAAAAAGAAAGATCCCTATTAAAGTCAAAAAACGATTGAACAGCTATGGAAGAAATCTTGATGTTTTAATAGAATTGTTTTTTAAAAAACTGGGAGGGGGCAAGCAAGGGCAAAGCAGCTTTCTGGGTGCCATTCCATTTCTGGGGGCCGGAAAAAAAAGAAAGATCAAAAACAAGGTCCAAAAACGATTGAACAGCTATGGAAAAAAATCTTGATGTTTTAAAAGAAAATTTTTTAAAAAACTTGGAGGGGGCAAGCAAGGGCAAAGAAACTTTCTGGGGGCCAGAAAACAAAGAAAGATCCCTATTAAAGTCAAAAAACGATTGAACAGCTATGGAAGAAATCTTTATGTTTTAATAGAATTGTTTTTTAAAAAACTGGGAGGGGGCAAGCAAGGGCAAAGAAACTTTCTGGGGGCCAGAAAAAAAGAC